CTACTATCGTATTTGTTTCCTAAGTTTTCACGCACACCACTATCGTATTAATATATCGTCTGTACGATGGAGTATATCTTGATCTAGGCTGGCGCTCTAACTCGAGTGAGAGAGAATCTAGATAACTCTCTTGTCTAGAGGCGTCTCTAGCCCTTGTAGTGCTCGTGTGCCATCATTAACCCAGCACCCTCAAAGGGCGCGGTCGAATAATGGTAGCTAGTGACGCTCAGCTCCCCCAGAGACCGCTGCGCCCGTGTGCAATGGACATCCTGCACTACCACAAGTAAAGCCGCCTCTGCTTTTGTCTAGGTGAGTGGATATACTCTATGTTTACTTTATCTTTAATTGTATGACTCACTTACCTTACATAGGGGAAGTCATTAATATAAACTAAATATAAGAAAGGACCAAGGATTGAGCCTTGCGGAACGCCCATCTTAATAGGTGAACCCGGAGATTTATTACCATTGATGTCAACCTTCTGAACCATATACCCCACATATGATGCACTTAGGTCGAGATTGATACCTTCAAATCCATAGGGGAAGACTTTCCTAAGTAATATTTCATGAAAAACGCAATCAAAAGCCTTGAACAATCGCAAACCTAACCGAGCCGTTACACCTAAAGCGTTTTGCGAATTCCCCCAGGCATTAAAAATGTGTTGTATAAGCTGAACACCGGCGTCGGCGTCGGTTGTTGAGCGTGAACAAAATTGTTTACAGTGGAGATATTATATTTATAAAAATGTGATTGCATTTGATCTAGATTTTTCAGGTCCGTGGTTCTAACATGATTATTTCTGAAATTTTACTTATGGTGGCCAGTACAGAAATGGGTCTGAAGTTTTCGGGGTCTGAATGCGCTTCCAGATTTATGCAATAAAGTAACTTTATTGTATTTCATTTAATGTTTACAACGTGTTTTTTTTTTGTAAGTGTACTGGTTATTTATGGTCATTAAAATGCTTCTCTTTCACTCTTACCTATAATTCTGGGCTCAAAAAAATGTATGCGTAAAAACGTGAAATGAAACAAAGTTATCAATAATGATTTTTTATTCTAATTAAATTTAAGTGGAAACATGAATTCTTATAACATGAATCTAAAGAAGGAAACGCTATTATATTCTTAATTATGAAATACTTATCAAATTAACAAATGTCTTTTTGTTTTCCTCGTTTCGAAATTATCATATAAATAACTAAAAGTAAGCCATCACATATGGCACGACAATACAGTATTCACTATGAGAACACACTCATTAGTAATAGAAAAAACACAACAATTATTTTATTAATATATGCAAAATAATACAAACATTATTTTGCAAGATCGTGCCGAATACGTGCTCAATCGAAGGGCAATTAGAGGATTTCACCCATTAATTATTAATCTATGTCAACTATTTGGTTGTGGCAACTGTGTTCTAGAATTAAAAAAAAACAAAATTTTTTTAGACTCTGCGGTAGGTGCACATGTACACAGAAATACGAAAATTACAAAATACAAAAATGACATTCGGTATTTTTAAACTACTAGATGATTCCTCTATTCACACTTCACACTATTTTAAGCTCGTAAGTGCCAAAATGTAACCCTACTTATGTTTAAAACGTGTAACAATTTCTTCTGTAAGTAATTAAAAACATACTTTTACTTTTTTTTTTACTTTATCTTTTTTCATCATTATTTTGAGAAGGCACATGAAAATTCTTCTTACAAATTAAATGAATAAATCGACAGTGTTTTGTTTCTGATAAACGCATCATTACGTTTTAAATTGTTGTTTTATTTCAAGTTTCATATTTAAAAAGCGAAACGATAAGTGACTGCTGAATTCATAATGTAGATATCAACGTTTTTCCGAGGGGAATTGACTGGCCCTCCTACAGTTGATATAATTATAGAAAAAAGTCTAAAGCTTTACAAGCACAATCAGTCACCATTAACATATGTAGTTTGCGTTTATAATAACACATTTTGCACAATAAATATATAAGCCAAGTATTGTGGCTAAATACTATGACTCGAATGGACACACGTACTCACATGAGAGCTGAGAACAATATGAAATTAAATTTATACCTCAATCAAATCGATTTATAGAAAGCTCTTTTGAATATCGCAATATTTTAGATTATGTCTATTGGATATTTTCATAACATTTTGTGTTGCACAAACAGTTGTAAGTAAATTCTGAATTTGCCCACCTTAGTGTAATACCGGCACTTCTCTTGGCTATTTGTATTTGCTAGTTGTGAACCGTCTATTCTTATCGCTTTATCAAGAATGAAAAGGACAGACTGATGTCAAACACATACAACAAAGGCAAACACGAATATCCAAGTAAAGTGCAGGCATGAAGCACAGCATATTAATAAAATTTCATACAAAACATGTACGTAAGTACAATCGCATTTAAAACTCCAACTAAACCCAAATTTCACAAAACACTAAAGGAAATTTATTTACTACATAAAGTTAAAAGTAATATAAAAAAAACTATTTCTATTGACCATGTTACAATTTTGCTTCAAAGATAAAATTGAATGAACGATGGCCACTATATAAAACTTTATGATAAGAATTTAAAATAGCGTTCAGTTTTGTATACAACTAACGCGTGTGTACGTGTGTCTAGAAGTACAAAGTATGTAGTTTTGCTACCAACTCCGGCATAATATATTATACTGACATTCGTGTAACATATATTATGAAACAAGTCTTACATACTATATAAAAATACAACAATATTCGTCTGGTGACATTTATATGACGAATTTTACTCGTACATCGAATATGACAAAAGAACCTTCGTAAAGTGGGGTACCTAAGGTGATATGCCACAGATTAAACCTTATCCTTTATACGCTAAAGTATTATTTTCATTACATAGAAAATATCCGAATGAAACTCAATGATCACGTTTACAGGTATCTGAGGGGGATTACCCGAATCTTCAATCCGTAAACTTGAATACGAACAGCTTCAATGACTAATCTATTCATGAAATCTAATTTAATTACTTTGATCCCAAATCAGATAATTCTTAGATCCAGCATGCATTGCCTGACAATTTTGAAATTATAAACAGTGGCACGATTACTTTAGACGTTTATATATACACTTGAACAGCCGTAACATTCTTGCGATGTTTTTGAACAAGCAATTACATTCTTCTTAGCTTTTCTTCTCACACTCTTTTCTTTCTAGATTTATTTTTAAGTGTCACTTCGAATACCGTAACAAACAAGCCATATGCACAACGAGAGATCCTTGCTTGTTTCAAAACATGTCGCCGCATAATATATAACAGAAACGTATATATCGCACGCTACATCTACATATACTACGAGTAAGAAAAATATATAATTTTATATCAAACTAATTTATGAAAGCTCGTGAAAATATTTTAGTAGTCACATGAAATTGTCTTTTACATTTTTTTTAACACTACAATAAATACTAGTTAAATCCATGTTATCGAACCAGCGTCCAAATAATTCGATTAACGTGACAGCTGTTAACGATCGAAACAATCCGAAGGAAATAGTTAAACATTGCCTTTCGATAATCCAAAAAGATTTCAATGAACTTATTACTAAAAAAAACACGCAAGCTTATAATAATAAAAAGTAAAAAAAAAACAAAAACCCTTAGTCATGTCTTTAGAACGTGCTGCTTCAAAAGGTATCGAATGTTCTGATTTATTAAATAAAACTTATTTGACTTCAGAGATTTATCTCCAGCTATTGCTTTGGTTTTTAGTAAAGATCACTTGAAGTTGTCTTTTTGTAAGGTAAGATCAATTAACGAAGTGGAAAACTCGTAAATGCATATCACAACTGGCCTCAAATGATGTCAAACCAAATTGTTAACAAGCAGTTTGGATCGCGACACAGCATGTCGTCAATATATAAAGTACAAAATTTTCAAGACACCTTAAATACTCGTTTTAAAACATGTCTACTCAAAACTATGGAAGCCAAACTTGACGGCGAAGCTAAACGCCATCTACCAAAATGCGACATAACTTTTCGTTACTATATATCTTATAAGTTATTGTAAACATATTATGATCCTAATTTCGAGATAGTCTTTAAAACGGTTTAAAACAGTGGTCCTATGTTAGAGTTTTTTTTTCTCAAGAAGTTATGAAAATATAGGCGTGGTCCAAGATTTGGTGAAAATGAAAATAAAAACTTGATCTCCACAATAGTTACTTTAAAATTTGAAAAGGTTAATACGAATGTCGAATAAATAATGTTAGATGTAAATAGAGTTACGTATGAACAGATAGATAAAGTAACTATTATCGTAGAGAGCTTTTCTACTATCAGAAGAAGAGCTATCTCACTTAATTCGTTAAAAATGATTTATGTATTAATATTACGTTCATTTATGATTGTGGTTCTGACCCTGCCTCGTTAAAGCGATATAACTATTTTATGGTACCAATATTATTACAAATTGTTACATCCTTAATTCTAATCTACAACAAGCTTGACAAATCATTCTAGGCCGATAGGAACTGAAGAGTGATAAGTAACACAACATTAAAGTTACCACACTTAAAGAATAAAATATCAACGTTAGGGAGAAAACAATAGTCACTTTAAAACCGATACCGATAATAACCGATAGAATCGAAGACAGTGCGGCAAATGAATGAATGGGGAAACATATTCTAAACTTACATTATTAACTCTCACTTATTTTACAAAACTTACGTCAGAGCACTGTATGCCATAGATAACAGCCAAGTGAGTACCAACATTATCATTGTCAGCCCCTCGCATTATTACAATTGGAAACAAATTTCTTATATCATCAGGATTTCCTCCAAATTCAATAAAATTATGGATTTTATTCAGTAAATATTACAGCAGTTCTTTTACCTTTCCAATGTCTTCAGAGTTATGGTCTTACGTAGTTGTTTCTTGGGGAGATGTGGAGTGTGGATGCGAGGCGCCTGCGCAGTGGGGTCAGAACTTGTGACTATGAGTTCTCTGGCTCCTCCCAGTCCACGCCCGCCCATTGCGGCAGTTCCGTCTCGTATTCCCAGCCAGGTCCCTATTCATAAATTGATACGTATTTAAACAAAATTTTACTAGAAAAAATACCACTCAGTTCAGGGAAATCTGGAAAATATAACTAGAAAAAATTCTACGCGGACCAGGCAGCAGACGGGACGCGGTCCGTGAGGGCCGCGGTAGGATAATTGGTCAGTGCATTCATCCGGATTGCGAAGGGTGCGGGTTCGAGTCCCGACTGCTGCCTGGTCTGCGTGGATTTTTTTCTAGTTAAATTTTCATTAGATTTAAACATCAAGCAGTTACATGCTTTAAAAATAATAAGAAAGGTGTTGGAATCTGATTTGATACAATCATATGTTAAAAAGAAATACTCAAAATTTCATTACATTTTAATCTGTAGCTCTAACGTGAGTTCCTTCAGTAATATTACATTATATTAGCTACAGTCGCTAACGTATTTAGGAGCATGAGTCGGTATGTCTCGATGCCATTTCTCAAATATGAGACTCATGGTGCCTGCCTCAATTTCTATAATAATGGCTACGAAAAGTTAGTCGAAATCGAATAGTTTTTTTTACCTATCGAAACTTACAGACACTCATACTGGAGTTTTCAGTTATTAGAGCGACCGCTAGAGGCGCTGAATAATTTCCCATTGAAATCGGTTACGCTGTCGCCAGCGAAATGGTATTTGTAAGGCTACAGGGCCCTTAGTACGAGTTTGAGCTCATAAAAACTATCATTGTTTTCGAATTGTAAACTATGTTTCTATGTCCATTTTGATGAAAAGTAATGTACTTAAAATTTAAGATGACGCAAATGATTTTATGATAGAATTTAAACACTGTTTATTTGTATTGAAACGAAAACAATAAAATCAGTACCCTAAGTACGAGTGCGAGCTCACGAAAACTATTATAGTTTTCGTAATTATAAAACTCGTACTAAGGGTACAGGTCTCATTCTGGATTCGTACCACCAATCAGATTTTACTTAAAGAAACATTTTTGAAAATGATTTTAAAAGAGTTTTCAAACTATAATGAGCGAAGGCGGAATGTAGCGCAGTTTATTTATTATTCAACTATTTTTTAATTGGTAAGCGCGCGATAAGTTTATTGTACAACTTGTGACTTGTTAATACAATGTTCGTGATTGAAATCTTTGGTGCTCGGAACTTTTTCTAACAATATCCACATTCCTAACTAAATTTGATTATTTATTCTCTATCTAGATAGAGCGTCACCTTGTAAACACTGCGATAAAACCAGGCCAGGTTTTATATATGTAATATGATGATATAGTTTATTTTTTAAGGTGTATAATGAGTTATTTACTTAAGGTAAGTGTTTTGTCGGTTGGTTATATGTGTCCTTTATAATTTCGGCAAACTGTTATCGCGCACCTTGGCATTTTGAAGCAATAATTTCAAAATGAAACTCGGTAATTGACGTGCGTAATGCTCAGCGTCTTACTGAACACTAAGTGACGGTAAACGACTTAGACCCCATTAGGTGGGAGACATTTTTTTCAACGCATCGGCGCTGCCACGTCAAATCACTTTTATCTTCGAAGGATTAAAATGCTATTTTAGTTTTTGTGAACGTAGAGCAAACTAGCTTTTTTCGAATCATCATCACCCTATAAATGTCCCCACTGCTGGGGCACAGATCTTCCCTATGGATGGAATAGGGAGATTGGGCCATGATCCATATAAAAACCTTAATATCAAGCTTAATCGAGAGTCCTCAACATACGCGTAGACACTTTATTATTTAAGCGTAAAATAAAAATACCGAGACGAGAATAACATGAGTTTCGATTGATTAGTTATCATAAATTGTTTATTTTTATTTTCGAATGAACAGTTCAACTTAAACTAAAAGGGATAATGAAACTTAAGATTGACAAAATATGCAAAGATACTACGAAATTATAAAATATTAAAATTACTCGATTTCCGATACAACACCTTCAACAACAGATTTCAGCAAATAATGCCCCATTTAGCACATCTTTTTTTGTATTTTAATGAAAGCTTATGTAGTCAAGCAGTTTTTAAAATTAGTCAGAAGTTATGGAACATCCATCTATTTTCATTTTTTTATTTCAATTGAAAATTCTTTCTGTTTTACTTAATTCATTTTTATTTAGTCTCGTATGATGTGTAACATTTGAAACCTCACCTTATATTAGTAAAAAAAGAAATAAAACCTACTATAAAAGGAAAAAGCCATTTGAAGATTATGTTCTAAAATCAAATCAAATAGCGCGCGCTTTCGCTACTTCCTGTTACACACTTCCGTCCTATTTCACGAATTCACTCCCACAAATTGCAGGAAAGCGAGAGGAAAGATGTTACACATCAATAAATAAATAAAATATCTTAGTTATGTCTTTATTTTTTAAGCATTTAACTGCTAGATGTTTAAATCTAAAGAAAAGTTTTACTAGAAAAAAATCCACGCGGACCAGGCAGCGGACGGGACTCGAACCCGCACCCTTCGCAATCCGGGCGAATGCACTGCTACCACGGCCCTGATGGCCGCGTCGAATTTTTCCTAGCCTTAAGCTGCAAGGCAGCGCCATCTCTTCGCATTGTCGGTAACCAACAATGTCAAATGAATACTTTTTCAAGTATTAAACATTTGAAAGAAGAAATAGCAATCACAGTTATGTTTTTATTTTTTAAGCATTTAACTGCTAGATGTTTAAATCTAAAGAAAAGTTTTACTACAAAAAAAAATCCACGCGGACCAGGCAGCGAACGGGACTCGAACCCGCACCCTTCGCAATCCGGGCGAATGCATTAACCATTATGCTACCGCGGCCCTGACGGCCGTGTCGAATCTTTCCTAGCCTTAGGCTGCAAGGCGCGCTCATCGCATTGTAGGTAACTCACAATGTCAAATGAATACTTGTACAAGTATTAAACATTTGAAAATATCTTACCTTATACTTCCACGCGTGGAGGTACATGACCAGATCGCGGGGTCGCGGGTCGCGGTACCGCACGCGGCACTCGTAGCAGTGCGGGTCGGGTGACAGCGCGTCCGCGGATGCGCTCGTCGACGAGCTCGCCGTCGGGGCGCAGCCGGTCTGCGTGGCCACTGTCACTTTGTCAGACTGCAAAAAAGGAGTCGAGTTTTATAAAAGCTCTTGTAGTTATACGTCTGTGGCGACTTGGATTCTAAGAATGCTGACTTGATAAGCGTCGACGCGCGGTCCGCGGTGATGCGAGCCAGTCGCACATAAACACCGATCCCGTCAGGTTCATTCTTAATTCATCATATTAGCACGCATAACATATTAGGAAATAGACAATTGTATTCGGAGTCAGATTAATGTTGAACTATACTTGTGAAGTGAATAAACAATCAGTGAATTAACTATACCACCTTTTATTTACCGTTCCACAGTCGTCACCACTAGAATAGCGAACACTAATAGATACCTAAGAAGTAGCCAAACGTCTGTCTGTTACTGTTATGACGTGTTAGTATTATTAACATTTTTTTTTCTGACGTTTCAGATCGTAAGATTGTCTTAGGCTCTATATCTCATTAAAACTTTATATCATATAATAGTGATGCGAAGGGAGACCCGCCTCATGCAGCCTGCTCTATGAAATAATATGAAACAGCACGCGGAGCGGCCATCCGCTCCGTGCTTCCGCTAAAGGCAACGCACGCCCTAAAATAATTTTATTGATGTATGTGAAATTATAAGAAATTCTCGGGTTTTCCACAATTCCAAAAACAATTCTTCTTACTGTACCTGCACTAAGAGGGCAATTTATATTGCGTGAATTGCTTTCTTCCCCATGCTTTGTTAGTACATAAGTGCAGGTTAGTTAGCCGAAAAAAGTTTCTGGTCATTACTGTAAAGAGCAATTGATAAATCATGACAGTGACCAGCTTAAAAGGTTACGCATCCAGATATCTTTCCATACTTCTGTGCCATCGATGCTCTGAGAATATCCCAAAACATTTATGGCACGTATATTTTATCTGAGAAATGAGGGTTTTCTGGAATGACGGTCGCCAGGTGGCAACACGATAGGTCTACTCATCTGTCAAATCACATATGTTGGCATAGTTTATTCATCAATTTAAATGCTCATTCGATTAATTTGCGTAAAAACTTTATATTAAAAACCTCTTGTCGCAATGGCACCAACTAGTGACTTAAGTTTTCCTAAACGGGCATTACCTTGGCATCGTTGGAGTCCTCGTTGAGCACAGGCGAGGGCGCGGGCGAAGGCGCCAATGTGCGGGAGGGCGAAGTAGCCGCCTCGACGGGGGCCTCCGCGCCGCTCGACGGACTAGGCATCGTTGCTATATAGACACAACACTTGAACTATAAACTCGAAAGGTGGAGGCAGTTTTTATCGGTTTTATCATAATTTGATTACTAAAATTGGTAGCCTCCAGAAAATTTAACTAGAGAAAATTAAACTCGGTTCAGAGGTCAATTTGACTGTCTAGTAAATTTTTCTTTAGATTTATAAATTGAGCAGATTTATAATACAGTTTTTATATTGTACTTTTTATAAGCCAGAAACATCCTAAATGTATAGTATTAATCAGATCTTCGCCAAATTAATACCCATCTCGCTAACAAACTCTTCCTAACAAAACAACAATCATCAAAATAGGTCAACAAGCATCAGAGATATGCGTGAACAATAAAAAACGAGCGAGCCTTACAGTAGTCGCGTATGATGTGTAACATTTGAAACCTCACCTTATATTACACCGTAAAAAAAGAAAAAAAATATACAACAAAAGGAATAAGCCATTTGAACATCATGTTCTAAAATCAAATCAAAAAGCGCGCGCTCCCCAAACTTCCTGGTACACACTTCCGTTCCACTTCACGTAATCACTCCCACAAATTGCACGAAAGCGAGAGGAAAGATGTTACACATCAATAAAACAAATGACGAATTGAGAAGCTCCTCGTTTTAAAAATCTTTTACAAACACCAGACACACAATAAAGTGAATCCCGACTTACGCGTGAGCACGGTGGAGGGCGTGACCCCCGGCGCGGGGGACTCGAGCCGCGGCGACGACTCCCTCGACGCGGGGCCAGTGTCGCAGTCGTCCTCGCCCACTGTCACAGACACAACCTTATAGATCTGGAGCTCAGTACTCTTTCTCCGAAGCGAAATTTCGGCAACGAACGAATTTTAAACGATATTTCGCCAGTGACCCTACTCTATTTCATCTTCGAACAAGCACATAAAGTTCGGAATCACAGACAATTATCGTGAACGAATGGAATGAGTTATGTTTGTGAGTTCTTTTTGTCTACATTTTTTAGATAACGTTTTTTACTTCAAACCAATATTACTTTATGACAAAATTTTTGATTACATTAAAAAAACCTCTTTTGACTTTGACTGAATGTATGTCAACCTAAATTTGTCGTGTAACACTTTGAAGTATTGGCAATACAATAATAAACAAAAATTTGATTTATTTGTAAATTTTGCATACTAAAAAATGTTCCTCACGCAGCCTAAGGGTGCGGCCAGAGTGCACTCAGATTCAGAGTCAGATTCAGATTCTGAAAACAAGCGCGAGAAATAAACAGTGTAGTCTAAGCAGGTTGCCTGCTTTTTCTCGCGCTTTGTTTTCTGAGTCTGAATCTGAATCTAAATCAGGAGTGCAATCTGGCCGTACCCTTCGACTACACTGTTTATTTCTCGCGCTTGTTTTCGAAATCTGAATCTGAGTCTGAATCTGAGTGCACTCTGGCCGCACCCTAAGGTCGTATACAGAAAGAAAGCCGAAAGCCGCCGATAAGCGCCGATCGGCGCCGATCCTTCCTACATAAAGGAAGCCGATTAAAGCAGATCAAGCAAAATGTCGGACTCATCGGACGATGATTTGGTTTTGTTAGAATTTTTTTATTTAAAAATGCGAAAAACAGCTACACATCCTATATATAGAGTAAGGAAACGTTTCGGAGAATACCATCATTTATTTGTAAAAAAAATTAAATTTGATGTACAAAGATTTTATACATATACAAGAATGATTCAAGAAACATTTTATTACATTTTGGATTTAGTGAAAAACCGTTTGATGAAAAATTGGGGCAATTGGCATAAACAACCAATCCTTCCAGAAGAAAGACTTGTTGTCACCATTCGGTAAGTACGAAACAAATAATTTTAGCGCTGAGTTAATAAAAGATAAAGTTATTAGATTTATAAAAAGATTATAACTTAGATTGATTTAATCTAAGGATAATAATTCAAATACAAATTATTTATTATTCGGACCAGCGCGTGTCGGCGCTTATCGGCGCCGATCGGCGCCGGTCCATAGAAAAAGGATCAGCGCCAATAGGCCGATCGGCTTTCGGCTTTCTTTCTGTATACGGCCTAACACTTTTCATTTCGTCAATTTGAGGTAAAAATTTCGAACAATTATATTATCTGTCAAATTCAACTTTTAGGTCAAAAGTTTTGTGAATTAGAGTAGGCTTGGAGAATTTAAATGTCAAACTATTTTCGGACGAACGAATTTTCGAAATGAAAGAGAAACAGAGTAAGGAACGTGCGAAATTTCGATCGAAATTTCGTTTTTCGTTGAAATTGAGTAGGCCTCCTGTACCCCTAGCACGAACCAAAATCGAATTCGTATCGTTTGCGAGTCCAAAATGTCATTGTCAAATATGTACTGATTTTTAGTCCCCGTTACGTCCAAAGTGGCGCTGCTTCCATAGTCCAAGTTTCCATACAAAATTTGATATTGACATTTCGGTTTGCAAACTGTTCGAATTCGATATTGGTTCGTGCTAGGGGTACTGTACGTTTACTACTGTAATCTTTACATATAATAAAATGGTAGGAAAGTCAAAATTGTACATTGAATATTTTTTTTAAAGAATACTTGGGGTGTGATCTACAAGCGATACAGAAGTCAAAAATACAGTTTTTAGTATTTTTGTCTGTTTATCTGTTTTTCTGTTTGTATCATGCTCATCAGTCTTGCTGCTTAAACCAATGATCTTGTCACTCAGCGTACCTAGCCATTTACAACTTAAAGATCTATACAATAAGTACCTTTATCATCGGATGCGGGCTTGGAGAAAAGCAAGTCGTCGTCAGCTGCATCCACCCCCAGCCAATTCTCAGCATTGTGTATGGCTATCAGATCCCGCACCAACTGTTCATCAGTCTTGCCACCTGTGTCGCCGCCCTTGCCGCGAAGTGGTCCGAATACCGGATGGTTGTAAAGAGGATCGTTCACCACTGGATAACCTGATGGGAGAAAACAGATTTCGCATCGTATTAGGATCTGGTTTTAAAACGGTCTATATTGGCAACTTTGATGATGGCATGAGAGTTTTGCCAGAAATGCCAAAGTTTAAGAAATAAGTTGTGATTACATTAATAAAAATATCATACAAAAATTTGATTTATTCAAGATTACTTCATTAAAATTGTATAAATATGTCACTACCATGGATCAGCATCCTTTCCGCGCTGGCGAGATTTTCCTTTATTTCGCGAAAAGTAGACTAAAAATAGCATGGCTCGTAATAGGGATGATGACTAATTTTTTTTTCTTCGTTTATCAGGTAGATTATCAAAAAGTATTGGACACGTATTTTTTCTTTTTTCACATAATATAAACATTGCAGAGATATATTGATTTGAAAAGTCGCATGACGTCACGTTTGAGTACACTTATAAGTGAAAATTCACTCAAAATTGACGTCACGAGCCCCTTCTTCCAAACTTTGACGCGCTATAGTCATTTTTTGGTCGATAGCCTAAAGAAAAAATACGTGTCCATTATTTTTTGATCATCTTACTGACGGACTAAATAGAATTTCGTTTACTGTACCCCGTCATCATCCCTATTGGAACACATTGTAGGATAATTATGGTAGGTATCTTTTAATTAAGACCACTCTGGATCATATCTAAAAACTAAAGCCTGTTTTGAAAACGACGAATGAACGTATCAGCGCTAGCCCGGTACAGATTAGTACTGAAAGAATAACTGACAAAGTTAATAGTTACCCAAGTACTGTAGATGCACCCTGATTTGGTGCATGCGTCCCGTCTTCGGCTTGCACAGCACTACGCTAGTATTAGACCGCGTGTTATACCCCAGCCGCTTGAACACCGTCGAGCAGTCTTTGCCTTTAGCCGACACCTTGCATACACCGATCTTGTAGCTCACCACCTCTATCGGCTCTTGACATTCTATCTCTTCACTGTTAAGATGAAAAGGTAACATTTCTATTACATGATATCCTGCCAAACTTCTTTACCTGCTCTTACTACGAATTATGATATTTCTCGACAGAATATTCTGGATTTGGAAATGTACGTTTATATAAGGCTCCGGTATTGAAGATTTTTTATCTATGTACATATTCAGAGTTAGATAATTTGTCACATAGCTAGCTTTGTCGTTTTGTCGACAGATAGTTCACATCTTTATACCATAGTTTCTTTACAAACGGTTAAACAATCCTAATTATAAGAATACGCACGTTTTTGTTTACAGTATTTTCCAATAACTTCTGTCAATTCCAATTTATTGGTTAACATCAAAAAAGGCCTGTATACCAAGCGAACTGCTATACAAGCCAGAATATATTTTAAGCTGTAATCAGAAACTTGGTAATGGAAGAAAAATTAATATGGAATATAACATCAAAGGTCCCGCGTATATCAATATTGACAATATTTTTCTAACTACATTCAGTAAACATGGGATATCAAAGTAACAGCGTAATTTACATATAAATATTTTATTATCTTTCTTTAGAAATCGTTACATGTGCGAAATTTCAAGCACACATGAGTTTTTAGTGCAGCAAAGTTCAAAGGAAGTTTAACACGAACAAAAAAATCGATACCAACACCAGCAGTTGAGTTTCTGTTGAAAATTTTAATATCCAAAGTGTATTTGCGGAATCGGATGAAGTTTATTTGTACGTGACTCAAGCGTCGCGGCAGCAAATCGCTCGCTCGCAAACAGGGTAGGGGGAGACGATCGAATATTTTCGTAATCAACTGTGTACACCTTAACTGTGTTTGTATAGTCTCGGCGTGTTGTGTTTCGCCTCGGAAGTCGTGATCACTGATCGAGTTTACAACAAGATGTTCAGTACCCCTAGCACGAACCAATATCGAATTCGAATAGTTTTGGAGTCCGAAATGTCATTGTCAAATGTGTACTGATTTTTAATTCTCGTTACGTATGTTATGGCGCTGCTGTATAAGTTTCCATATAAAATTTGACAATGGCATTTCGAACTCGCAAACTCTTTTAAATTTGATATTGGTTCTTGCTTGGAATACAGCTCAGATCAAATACTTACATCGGACTATAAAGCAACATGAGATTACCCGTTTAATTTCAATAGATTTGGGTTTTAAGAGAATTTAACTGAGACTAAATAAAATCTCTTATAAGTGCACATTGCTAATAATAACTGCCATTACTACTGTCCATTCCATAACTGTTAGATCTAGTATTGTTACTAATAAATAAGTGATATTACAATGTAGGTATAAAAATATATTGACGTACACCACAAATATAATATATATACTAACTCTACTTATTAATTAATTGCGCAAGGTTTATGACTAAGGCCCATATTAATAGATCGCTCTTAACTCTGAGAGCGATCTATTCATACGGGCCTAAGATTCTCTGACAGTTAGGAGACTACTGTACTTTTATTCGTTACTCTATCGTTACTACATCAAACTGTTACTTTTATTATTAAGAATAAATTGGCAATAACCACATTAATTAGCTTGTATTTAAAAAAATACAATCAAGTTCAAACTTACTCGGGGAATTCTCCATCGACTCTGCAAACATATTCTTTTTGCACTTGCCGATTTCTGATCTGGTGTTCCATTTGTCTCGCCTTCTTGGGGCTTCTTCCGAATAGTAGAAGGCCTGGTAAATGAAATAGCTATATTAAAGATAAGCTCGATTAAAGGGAAAAGAAGCTAATTGCGTAAATGTCTACTAAATATTCATGAATATTGATTAGGACGACACAAATACTGTACATCTAATTTAAGTAGAGCGACGCATCAAACCAAAGATAATATAGCGTTTACTGAATTTAGAAAATGAATTTAATGTTAGAAATAAAGATAACAAATAAAGGAGAAGAATATAGAAGAAGAATATCAAATATTGATACGAAAAATAATTCTGTAATAATGGCAGCGACCAATCTCACCTGACGTTAACCTGTCCAGCCTATGAATGGTCCTCAAGTTTTTCAAGTTGTACTCTTTGGCGAGTATGAAGACGACAGTGTTGTGACGGTATCGCCCGCAGGGGTGCACCTGGAGAAGGCACTCTCATTATATCCTCCACACCGACACCTTGTTCAAGCATTCCCTTTTAAAAGTTCAGCCTTTTAAAATTCACTTTGGCTCAATCTTTAAAAAGTTTCTCCACAAAATCACGGATGCAACCTCACGAGACACTATTAATGCCCGTTTATGAAGCTTACTAAATTTTTTGCTCCAGCAGATTTAACTTAGGTGAATATTCTCAATTCGAAATTATAACAAGAAATTTAATATTCATTTAAAGAGTCGCTCATGAAATGTCCGTTGCCAATTAGAAAAACGATGTTAAAATATGAAGACTTATTTATTAAAAGTCGTATGATAAATTACAAGTACAATTAGAAATTATACTCAACAAACTTGATGATGATAAAGTAAATAATTTAATCTAATAAAGGGAAATTTCACTAACTGACGATAACAAGATGCAATCGAAATGATATCGAAATGTTAATAGTCCCGTCTTTAAGGGCTTTATAATGAATAACCACAACGTTAAACACCGATACATAAACATATATGATGAACACAGATGGAGCTAATATAATAAAGCTTTAGCAGAGGAAGATGTAGTTTAGGAGTTTCTTTTTATATACAGATATTTGTAAAACGTAGACGGTATCGAATTGTCGTCTGAAATTATTCATAACAACTCTTTAGAAATATGCCTGGATGAGAAGAAGAGAATGTTAAAGAAGAGACGATGGATACTATTGTTGTTATATGAAATCAAACGCAAATGTGCCACTTTCAAGTGGGATTCTCCGAGAGTGCACAGTTCTTATTTACAACCTCGAAGTTGTGTGCAGACCACAATCTCGTGTCAGACTCTGATGGTGAACTTTATTCAAAGTTAGTTTGAACCGAGAAATTTTATTGTATCGTAAGACACGTTGCATAAAAATGAGGTACAATAGTGGGTCATTTAGTTTTCAAAGAATTCAAGTGCGTTACACTAATACAAATCAATACTTACACTAAGACTTACACAGATAATAATTTGTAACTTAATATATCATGTTCTATATTATATAATGTTCAACTAACCTGTCTTGATTAAAAAGAATAAAAGAAATCTGCAGAAACGACCAAGTACACAGACATATTTTCAAGAAGCCTTTACTAATACAGCACTTACTTATAAACACGAATTGAATACGTAATATATTGCCTCACTAACTAACTTCTAAAACCAATGTATAATAAATTGTCATAAAATTAGAGAAATTCACTTCACTATTTGCAAGCTTACTTACAAACATCAAATGAATCAACCACTTATGCTAATATAAGATGAAATGTTTATTCATATGAATAGTTTGAGTATGGCCCAAAATCTTTTGAAATAAGTAACAGTTTCACACTTCTCGTTTCAATAAACCAGCCAGAGTCTGCCACGGCATTCCTGTTCGACTCACCGGCAGCGAGCAAGGCTTGTCTAGCACGAGGAGCTCTTCGTCCGCGTGAATGATGCGCAAGGGGTTAGCGAGCACTGGAGTTTCGTGCCTGGCCGCCATCACAATACATTACATAAATCCTATTGCCCATAAAGTACACAATTTAGGCAACAGACAAAACGATTCAATTAACGGACGATGCGTTCCAGCGTCTTATGATTTTGCTGCAGTTATTGCCCTTGTGGAATCAAATTTGAAAATTTATATTGTACTGGTAGATGATTGAATTTAGATCCTAATTTCGATTTCGATGCTCATAAATCACATTAGGGATGGGAATCTGCGTTAGACGCAGGTTCCAAAATGCCAGATTGGAATTTACTCAATTTATTGATGTTTGGTATCTTTTATTTCTTAAAAAACTCTTTGTAATATATTTGTAAGTAATACTTTAAATTCTGGCAATTTTACTAAGCTATTAAGGGAAGTACACAAATAAAAATCAAAGATCCTTTTATTATGTCCAATTTTATGAACTGAGACGAAAAAAAGTTATAAAATCTACACCCGGTTAATAATATTCCTAAATGGTTTTTGATACTTTAACAATTTGTTAAAACATGAATCTAAAATTTTATAGAAAAAAATATATTACATACTATTTGAAACCACGTTGATCATTATTGCAAAGGTCGGGAACATTTCTTTTTAGAATTTCTTTTTCATTGAAATATGAAGGTATTTTTAAAGCCCGTAGGCTGCTTTTTTATCATAGTGACAATAGAAAATCCTTTAGTCGTCCAAAAAAGTGGTTTGGTATTTAAAGGTCGAACCTGAGAGCTCTGGACAAAAAACTCGACATCAATGAAAAGGTTATCTAGCGGAACAACTACGTAGATAGCCATAAAATATTGAACTATTTTCTTTCAATTATCTACAAGCAAATACAAATTTATTATAGTGTCCAAAACAATTTTAAACATTTACCAGAATATTTAATAATATTGTGACACCAGAGCATAGCAATATTTTAGTAAATTATCACATAGAAATAGCTTGTTCGCAACAGCTATGTTATTAACAGTTCTACTGCATTGAATCCTCACGGACTTAGACGCGGGATGTTTACATATTTCTTCTTGAAATGTATAATTTTGTGTCGGGGTAGGGTGTCGCTGTGTGAAGTTGATAGAAATCGAGTACAAATAATCCTGTCTGTGCAAAGATTTCAGCTGAAATGTGTTAGTGTTAGTGCCCGTGTATTTTAGTGAGCTTGAGCGCTAATGAGAAGAAAAGGGAGTACATCAAACATACAAAGATGCCGTAATGACCATCATTACTTTTAAATTCTCCAAGCATTTTGCGTAGGCGGTAATATATCGTTACTTATTATTTCTGCCACATCAAATAATAATTTAAGCTTTTTAATACCAACTTACCTTGTTTGAAATATTCGTTTGTTATTTTCCAACTCCTCAATTAAGTCTTCGCGGGATATTATCAAAGGGCAATGTTAATATTATATTTTGATGTAAAGAAATTCAGTAGTAGTAATCTTAATTTAAAGCTTGTCCAGCTACTTGTGCTTAACCAAAGTCACTTCTTTGTTCATTTATTTGTTTAGTGTACATAATCAAACTTTAAGATTTTAACGAGCATTTTCTTTTTCAGAATTATATTAAAATATAAAGCCAATGATTGTGAATCCTTAGTAATAATAAATGCTTTTAAAAATCACTGGGATAAACTCAGTGGCGAAAGAGATGTCCTTGTTCATCTCCCAAATATAAAAAAATTATGATATCAATAAATTTTTAATAACTTAATAATATGTAATATTACTTGTCGTTGACATTTTCTTTGTCTTTAATAAAAATATGTAAGCATTAAAAAATAAAAATCTTCATCAGATACTGCAAGTCAACTGCACGATCCCTATAGAAAAAGCCATACAAGCATTTTTTACAATTTATTACTGCAATTTTTCTCTTTGACCTTTTATTGGTCGTTTTTGGCCATTCCACTGGTGATTGCATCAATCAACATGATCGGTCACACTCGGCCGCTTGGCCCTTTTTAAAGGAATAAAAAAAACAGAAAACCTTTCCTGCATCAGAAAATTGATGAAGTCATTTCGCGTGAGATATCGCCCAAACCCACATTTGTGATTTAGATCTCGCTTGGCTTGGATGGGTACACGTTTTGTTTTTGTTTTTAGTTAAAATTTTTGATTATCTGTATCTGGTGAATAGTGTTTTTGATTAACTTTCGTAATTTATAATCAATGTCAAATTATTACATGTAATATTAACACATTTTGTTTAAAATTTAGAAACATCGAATGTACGATTTTGTACATTCATACCTAAATTATTTGTAGAACTTAATTGGTTCATATTATTAGTCTCGTTTTCATGCTCTTGCTTGTTTCCAGGATTAACACACATGCAGCGACGAGGAATTATTCGAAACGCAATTTACGACGGTAACACACGAACTCTCAAGTTTGCGGAGATAACACAGACGTGTTGGGAAAACTGAGGCGTGCATTTATACTGGCCTAGTTCTGTGCACACATTCAACGGAACTATATTGTTTCAGTTGAGATAGGCAGAACATAGGTAGTAGATATTTGACTAATGTCTTCCAACCGTGTTATTCGTACACAGTGTTGCACTTCTTTCGATATTATACGTGTTAGCTCAAACATAAGCTTAGTAATTACTTTAATAGTTGAGATATGAGCGAACTTGGGTATAATCTCTAAATGTTTGATGATCAAAATAAATGTACAGTTAACCTGACTGGGTATACGGAATAGCTTTAGAAAAAAATGCTTCTAATTCATCCAACGAAATCTTCTGTATAACTGAGTGAGCTCAATGATATTAAAAATCGTCCGTGTCAAACATAGCCTAGAATATTACTTGCCAAAGATTTGTATTAACGGTGAAGGACTGTATGAGATGCTTTTAAAGGCAGTAAAGCCGATTTCGTGGCTTGCGAGTAGCTTAAATATTCTGCAGGAGATTAGAAATTAAATCGTGAATATTAATTTAGGTTTCAGCTTGTAATGCGTTTAGGACTGTTTTCTAAAAAGAAATGATATATTCTTAATAATATTCTAAATGTTATATTTGAAATTTGGTTATTATGGGTTTTGGACGGTTTTCACTTAGTTTTTTCCGGATATTTCTACGCTCACAAAGTTTTGCGTCATCATTTATGTCTCGCAATGACATTGCGTTTACAGGCATTCTTACGTAATTTCAATCAGTACCTACCCCAAGCAAGAACTATGACATATCTGTATTCGTATCGCGATCATGAAGTTTCTATGGAAGGAGCTTGTTTGTTCTTACGTCCGCTAGGGGCGCCGGTTAGTTTCCATAGAAATGTTGACGGTAGCGATATGACTACAGATTTGTTAAAGTTCGTGCTTGGGATACAGAATGAATTCGGGACTAGTGACACATTTTGTCATAATCATTATAAGTATGGATAATTATTTTTGATGATGACAGAAGCCATGCTTCTGACTTCTTTCTATTTTGTAGTGTACTATACAGATAGAAATACCTTTGTAGTGGAGGAGGAGAAATTAAGCATAACTACCTAATCATTTAATTTTGATATAGTCTAAATCATCAAAGTTGACAGTTGCACGATCAAATGGAAATGGAAGGAAAGTATTCTATAGGAGCAAGAATATAATACAATCTGATGATAATATACAACAATTAGTAAGCAAGCGTCCATGCAAAGATGATGTAAATATGTAAAGTGATAGAAGCGCACATAACATGGCTGTCTCATTTGCCACTTACGGGGATAGAGGCCGGTTTGTTGACAACCACAATGTCCTCGTCGATATGTACGAGGGTGATGGGTTGGCTGGTGACCGGTACTTCGTGCCTGCAACCATATACATGTCAGGCATTCGTAGTAAGGGAACCCCGGGACGATGAGCAAACCATACGGGATACGAAAGTGATTGAATGTACATTTCCTTTGTATTGTTTTGTTCAATTCACTTTTTTGTTAGTTATATGCATACATTTCACTTTATAAAGACGTAGATTATAACAAAGTCGACATTCAAATTTGCTGTAATTGCAATCATTATTAAAAAGAGGACATCACTTTCAATGCTAACAAAGCCATCACCAGACGTCACGAAACAATTAACAAACCAAATTATCGTTGTGCGGAGTTAATGTTTGCTCAAAGTCCGCACATACTGGCTGGTACTCCGTCATATGGAAAAATACAGATTAGACGAGAAAAAACTACAGCCAATGAACATGCGTGAGCGAACACAATTCATTTTGTGTGAGATGTGAACACAAATATTCTTTCGTCTAAATACGAACCAGTAGGTCTAGAATCGCTGGTTCACTGTTCGTGATTGGATACCGCAAGTCCACTGCATGCTCATTCGTTGCTAGTTCACCATTATAAAATATACAACGTTACAATACGCTACATACAATTAGACTTTAAATGAACAAGCTCCTGCTACTTTCCATTGTACACTACCTAAAACGTAATACAAGTGTGAGGTTAGGACCATTATGATACAATTCCATACATGAAACCATTGAGGACGTCACTGTCTTTGGGACAATCACAGTTAAAGTCAGTAGCAAGGCAAGGAAGAAAGTTGTTACTCTTGTTTTAACGGAAGATTGGTGATATTACAATATAATAAATTTATGTTTCTGTGTTGTGTTTTTGTACAAAAACGTCCGTGTGGATAGTGTAGAGCTAAGACACCTAAGACTATCGTTTAGCTATCTACATCGGTGTCGCGAATGAGATGTCGTTACCTATGGACGACATTCGCTAAGAGGTCGTTGTGCTTGAGTCTGTAGTCGGGGTCGACTCTTTCGTAGTTGACCGTGAGGGTGCCAGCTCTGATGCATCGCTCGTACTCGGCGGCGGGGTGAGCCCTGAACTCACGCGCGAACACGTCCAAGATCTTCTCGCCAACCCATCTGCCTTTCGTGAACGTCGTAAATGTGAAGTAGTAGGGATAAACTTTTCTGAGGCCTGCGGACAAAAATATAATTGACCAATTTTTAAAATGAATTATGGATTAATCGTGGTATATTGATAGAATTTGAGAGAACAATTACACGTCTTTCAAAGGGGCTTCTAATCAAATTAATATCTTAATTCATTCAATGTCTTTAAACTTAAATTTTAAGGTTTCTAAGAAGCTTATTATCCAATCACATAAATTTTACAATTATTTTGTTACCTTTTACTAAAAAAAAACATTTTGAATTTGATACAGAATTACTACTTATAGAACGTACAGTGATATTAGTGAATTGGCATTTTATTATGTAAATATAAATTATTTTTCATCGACCTACTATTATAAAAATATGTAAATATACATTATTCTTCAGCGACTACTAAAGTTATGTAAATAGCTTTTATGGTAATAAATATAGGTATTTGAATAACTCAAAATACCGGCCAAGTGTGAGTTGGACTCGTGCACGCAGGATTCCGTATCATTATCTAATATTAGACACTATATTATAATATCAACCAAAAAAACGGCAAAAAGGTCACTAATTTAATAATTATTTATTTATTTTATTTTATTTGTGTATTTTTAAAGTGAATATACGGCTTAATATTCTGTGAATATTTCAAGCGTCTATCTGTTCACACGACACGATCCCGCACCCTCCGCTATCCTGGCGGATGCACTAACCAATTATACTACCGTGGCCTTAATGACCGTCTCGAATTTCTTCTAGCATTTCATAGGCTGCAAGGCAGCGCTGTCTACTGCCTGGACTGCGTGGATTTTTTTCTAGTAAAATTTTCTTTAGATTTAGATTTAAACATCTAGCAGTTAATTGCTTAAAATAAAAAGTATAATAGAAAAACATAAATTAGCGACTGTTGTGCGAACCCGGGGTGTTTGTTAGTTTTATCAAAAGAACGAAACCAAAGCTAGCATGCGAGCATTGTCAACCGTGTACCGCCACCCCCCCCCCCCCCCCACAACCCCTGGACCGCTATTCAGGAAAAATATTTAGAAATAAAAACAAATATTTTAAGGTTACGTTATTAGGGTGGACGGCAATCCATAATCTGATCCCATATTCGGATTAAGCGACCACAAATTACTATAAATGACCAAGTTTCTAGGCTTGGATCAAAAGAGAAAACTTAATGTTTAAAAACAAAGCGCTCTAAATTTTTTTTTAAAAGTAGGCAGACACGAACCAGATTCCTAAGGTGTACTCATATATTAGGTGTATATTGGTGATAGTAAATTATAAAACACAATATTGGTGTCGATTCTGGCGTGATGCTCTAAACTTAAAAACTAAATTTAACATCAGTCTCTCCTTTTCATTCTGTATAGAGAATGACAAGGATACACTGTTGTCAAATTTAAGTTTAGGTTTAGAGAATCGTGTCAGGATCGACACCATTGTTTTTATTCTGTCTTTATCAAAAGTTAGTATTTGATTTTATGGCGGCAATTTTTTATAGCGGAAAATTTCAACTGTGTAGCTATCACGGTTCATGAGATACAGCCTGGTTACCACTGCCAAACAGACAGACAGAAAGACAGACGGACAGTGGAGTCTTAGTAATAAGGGACCCCCTTTGGGTACGGAACCCTAGAAAAGAAAAAAATCTGAGAAATAACTCCCATCTAGCGGCGTATTTACATAATCACCAACGGCGCTATTTTTACGGTTCTAAATAAAAAACTACTTTCGCCGTAATAACGTCTCCATCCAGCGAGGCGTTCAAAGAAATTCTGTTTAAGTAATAAAAATTGTAACGGCGAAATGGCTGCATAGCTGAAACGAGCCTCTTGTAGAATGCTAAATTAAATTGAATAAAAAACCGGCAATGCGGTTAGATGACTCAGGCGGTTAGCATATAATGGAGCGCGGCCCGATAGTTAAAAACTAACAGGGGAGGGAAATGCGAGTGGCTTTTTTCGGACAAGGAAATATAGCATTCTTGCTTCGCGTTAACGGCATGATTGATACACCTACCTACAGAAAACTTTGCTTGTGACATTTTGATATGCGATCTTGAACCATAGACGCTCAGTTTTTTATCATAGAACTTAAAAGGTGTCTTCGAAAATTTATGATATTTAACAGTTGCTTCACATTCATAATACTCGATTTAGAGGACGAGGTAGAGGCCATGTGCGATACCTTTATAAATAAATATAATAGGGATGATGACTATTTTTTTTTCTTCGTTTATCAGGTAGATTATCAAAAAATATTGTACACGTATTTTTTCTTTTTTCACATAATATAAACATTGCAGACATATATTGATTTGAAAAGCCGCATGACGTCACGTTTTGGTACAATTTTCACTTAAAAGTGACGTCACGAGCCCCTACTCCCAAACTTGACGCGCTATAACTTTGTCATTTTTTGGTGGATTACCCAAAGAAAAAATACGTGTCCATTATTTTTTGATCATCTAACTGACGGAATAAATAGAATTTCGTTTACTGTACCCCGTCATCACCCTTCTAATTAACACGCATATTGAAGATTCTTTAAAGATCTGTGCCCTTAGCACGAATCAATATCGAATTCGAATAGTTTGCGAGTGCGAAATGTCACTGTTAAATGTGTACTGATTTTTAGTTCGCGTTACGTCAGTTGTGGCGCTGCTGTTCAAGTTTCCATACAAAATTTGACATTGACATTTGCACTCGCAAACTATTCGAATTCGATATTGGTCCGTGCTAAGGGTACTGCTATCCAGGGAAGAAAAATAGCGATACGTACGTATGCATGAATTAATAAGCGATGATAAAACTGTAGTTTTTACACGCATCAGAAGAAGTTCGAATAGCAAAGTAACAGCAAGGGGACAAGGAAATGTCGTAAGAAAACTCATGAAAATGAAATTATCGGCGAAGTTTCCTTTCGTAACGGCCACGGCATAAGCTACCAGAGATTTATAGAAGCGCAAACTTGGAACGGCGAGGATTTAATATAATCTCTAATATCGTTAGTGTACCTACAAACCTTATTATTGTCATTTGAAAATGGTACAAGAAATTTGGAAATAAATAATTCTGGCACAATAGGAAATTTTATATTAATGTTGTTATTTATGTGGGGAGGCGGGCAATGTTTTTTCAAGTGAAAACTTCTTTAGCGGCGTTGTACACTTTTTTTAATGGGTAAAAAATGTTAAACGCACGTCAGGTTCAACACGTGGGCTGATTGCATCATGACACACAATGAAATTGGAAAGGTTGTTGACTTTCAATATATTGGATAATATTTTATTTTACCGTATTATATATAATGAGTCTCTATCTAGAACGTCCACGTGGCAGCTTTATTGCGAAGAAAATGCATTTTTTTACAATAGATGTCGCTAAATGTGATTAATATAAGTTGATTTCTTTACAATAGATGTCGCTAAGTGCGCTTAAACGTGATTCATGTAAGTTGATTTTTTCTGAGCGATACACTTTTTTAATGTAATATAAATTGTCATGTTTGTGTACGATAGCGCAATAAATAAATATTGCATTCTACCACATATATGATAGTACTTTTATACTGATAAATAAAGCAATTCGTGCAAAATTATTCCCTAACCATTCCAAAATATCAAAAATGCACAACGTTAATATTCAAGTTTTCACTTCTACCGGCAGTCCAGGCAGGCAATCCCGGAGTGCAACCCATCGTTTTTTTCTATACAAACGTTCTCGACTGATTCCACCTTGATTTTTGTCACTAAAGAATTGAATTTTATACATAAAATAAAATTTTACTCTTTCCATGCTCCTATGTCTTCCTTTTTTCGATAACTTGTGTTTAAAAGAAACTAGAAGCCTTCGAAAAAGGTCAAAAATAATCAATTTCTTATCACCACTAAAGACATCCTAGTGTGGAGATTTAATAAGCATTTACAAAAAAATGCAAAACATAGAGGCATATAACTACTATTTATTCTTTGTGTAAAATTTCTTTTACATATATGTGTATATATATATCTAATTTTCGAGGAGGAAATCGTCGAATTTTGCAATTTTTCTACTCAATTTTCAGCGTTAACTACTGTTGTCCCTATAGCACGGTATTTGCCAATGCGTGACAGCAATAGTTTTTTCAAATATCCATTTCTCAAATATCTCTCAGCTCGCGTCCGCTCTTAATAAATAAAGTATAAAACGCGAATTAGCTTTTTATAATGTAAATAATAGAAAAATTACAAATTCCTAATTTTCTCTACAAATAGAGAAAAAGATAAAATAGGGTATTTGACAAGTTTTAGAAAACGATCTCACGTTATTGACTAATGTTTATGGAGTTCGTAAAAAGATGGATATGGATGGATATTCATAATTCTGTTGTGTATTTCATTAAAAATAACCAAATCAAAAACTCCATTTTCAAGTTGCCGCGAAAACGTTTCTCTGGACAATATGGCGTCTTACTAGTGTGTGACGTCACACGACTGTTATTAAAACGTCAAACGATACAATTGAATGTTATTTTAACCGGACGTTTACTTGTGTGTGATGTAATTTTAGGCTCCGCCAATCCCAAGCGTTTTGTGTCACGTGACAATAGATAAGAAAACTATTATCTTTTTCGTTAGTTTTGAGTAAAATTATGAATATATTTTTTTGTAAAAATTGTAAAAACCCCTGCCATTATTCATTCTAAACACAGATGCTAACAAATGGCACTTTATTTTTAACACTGTCAAATACCCAAGGCTTTAATGATTTGGTATATTCATTTAAGATGTAGCAATATTAAAAAAACACTGTAAAATTTGTCCCCTGTCATTTAAATTTATCTGGCCTTCGCTTTGCTTATATGAATTAATCGTACAGGATTGATTGGTCGATCGAATCGAAGCCTCTTTTTCAATATTTTTATATGTGAGGAGCTGACGAACAAAACGGTATAATTACAAAAAATGAAAATTTACAGGAGTTGTAAAAACCTGAATGGCATACCTACAGTGAGCTTTTGGCATGTTTTTTTTTTTGTAATAATAACACTGTTATAGGCGGTTTCGATTGAAAATGAGTTGAGGTTAAAATTCAGCGGACCCAAAACCTCCGGATTGTAAAAAGAAAGTAGTTTGACCAGATGCGTAATTATACCACTTTGTTCGTCGACTCCTCATGGTATAGTATTATTGTTTAAACATTCATAGTCATAGTAATACCTAATAGGGGTGATGACGGGGTACAGTAAACGAAATTCTATTTAGTTCGTCAGTTAGATGATCAAAAAATAATGGACACATATTTTTTCTTTGGGCAATCATCAAAAAAATGACAAAGTTATAGCGCATCAAAGTTTTGGTTTAGTAGGGGCTCGTGACGTCACTTTTGAGTGAATTTTCACTTATAAGTGTACTCAAACATGACGTCATGCGCCTTTTCAAATCAATATATCTCTGCAATGTTTATATTATGTGAAAAAAGAAAAAATACGTGTCCAATACTTTTTGATAATCTACCTGATAAACGAAGAAAAAAAAAATAGTGATCATCCCTAATGCCTTGTTTTTTCCGACCCTGGTCCTCAAAATTTCGGTACTGTTGCAAGTGATAACGGAAGACCTAACAGTTGAAAACGTAATAGCAGTGTTTATGTGTCATAATCCTGGATAGACACTTACCATTTTCTATGTAATAGGAAGTCTCATTGTACCGGTCGTCTGTGAAGCCAGGCCTCTTCGCCTTCAAAGCCTTTGTTTCCAATTTCGCCTGAAACAATAAAAAGGATATTTGTAAGGCAGATTCAGAAATATTATAGGTGATTTTTTTATTATAGACAAAAATATCGCTAAACTTTAGGCTGTTTATATTTGTCATGGTAAATTGATGTTAATATAATTTTTTTTTATTCTGTACCCCTAGCACGAACCAATATCGAATTCGAACTGTCAAATGTGTACTGATTTTTAGTTCTCGTTACGTCCACTGTGGCGTTGCTGTTTTAGTTTCCATACACAATTTGACAATGACATTTCGTACTCGCAAACGTTATGAATTCAATATTGGTTCGTGCTAAGAGTACTGATAATAATTAACGTTTTATGTTTTAAATCAACCAACACGTTATTAAACTGTCACGCAACGACATTAATAGGGGTCTTTTATGAGAGGCGTGAAGAAGTATTTTTGTAGGCCGGCAAGGTAAGGATTCAAAAAAAATAAAAAATCAACATCGTTTATGCAGTCTAGGCTGTTACAAGCACTTATGAATGTCGAAAAGTTACGCCATCGGTTCGCAAATCTACGGCGGGAGACCTTGTACTGAGAAGAACCGGCAAGAAACTCAGCAAGCGCTGCTTTTTTCTCCCAGTTTTATTTGATACAGTGTCGACCAATTGAAAGTTGACATCAAACTTGCAAACATGTGTTGAGGTCAACTTCCATCACATAATGTCAAATATGTAACAATAGACAATCTACGAATTTACTAACAATAAGTGCATAGAAAAGTCCCAAAATAGCAAGAAACAATTTTGCGTAACAAAATGAACAAGTATATGAAAGCGAGTAAGTGCAAGGTTCTCTTCAAAACTCTTTATAAGGCTGGGAGCCTTAGTTTTAATATAATTTAAAAAAAAATATCTACAGGTAAAATTACAACCACGCCGTTTATCATTCAAATATTGATTGACAGTCCTTTCGTAAGTAAGCAATTCTTAACGTGTATTTTAAATTTATGAGGAAGCAAATCAAGGATATCATTAGGAATCTTATTATAGGATGGTTGGTGTGGCAGTTTATAATTGCTGTATCTTCGCGTTTGGACTTTATCACCACTTAACATCAGGTGGGGTAGAGTCATTTGCCTACCTGGCTATATATTAAAAAATATATATATCATTGCTTACGTGTCTTAAACCTAAACAAATCCAAAAAAATCTTTTACCAAATAATTGTAATAAATACAGCAAAAACGTTATGATTATTTGTTTAGATCCGTCCAATGTTTCCAATATAGTATTTTAATGATATTCTACAAAGTATGATACAGTCATTAGTTCGTGGAATCGAACTAATGACTGTATCATTAGTTCGATTCCACGAAAACAATTCGAGTAGTAGTAACAAACAAATGGGAATCAATATCGCCAATATCTTAATTAAACAAACATCTCGATCTCGTTAACATCTCGATGTTCGCGGAGAACAATGCGGAATATACTGCTGGCAAACAATAATAGATTGAATATTCGACAGCTGCGCTGAAATCGCGCGAGCAAAAACTCATCCAGTCAACGTTATGAGAAAACTTTTAAAACGAAACATTTCGGCCGACTGCGATGTGAAAGCGCATGAGTAAAGATGGCACACAGGCTTTTTACAGTACACTTGTGTTAGTGAGCACTGGTGGCCTGTCATGTCCTCGACAATCTCTAATACATATGTATAAAATTCTCGTGTCACAGTGTGCGTAATTGAACTACTCTGAAACGGCTCGACCGATTTTCGTGAAATTTTATATGCATATTCAGTAAGTAGGTTTGAGAATCGGACAACCCTTAATTTTTTTTTGGACAAAATTTTAAGATAACGAATTGCTTTTATCGCGGGCTTTGAGTGCGGCGACCGAATCAAGAAATTCCGTAACGAAAATAACCTAAAAAGAGTGCACCAATAGAACACAATTTTCGCCATTCCAGTATCGATCTTAACGGCGCAGTGTGATAAATTTTTGCCACGGGACCAACGTTCGACGCATCACCGCGGTCGTCGCTTCAAATCCCGCAATCGACTTTTTTTATAACATATATATTTGTTTTAGACTGGTATTTTTATTTGGTCCCTTTTATTTAAATTTTTGGACTAAAGATGGTAAACTTGTGGAACTTGTGGAAGTTTTTAGGCGCCGGACTATTAGCACTAGGCTGTGCTTGCCCAATAAAATATCATAAGGCCTGCCTCGCCATCCCGGAAAAGTCGCATGCCAGCAAGGACTGGATATGCCCGAACTGCAAGAAGAGCCCACGCAAGAATGACAACACGCATACGCCTGTAAAGGGTATCCGCGAATCTTCCGAGCCCGAAAAACCGGTTGCTGCACGGTAACCTGTCGACCTGGCCAGTAGCTCTCCAAAGGCAGATGCGGTCCAGAGTAAGGCCAAGGAGAACGCCACCGGAAATAACCACCGGAAAGGATCATGCTCGAAATCTACGTAATGGAACAAGTTTGGTGATAAGAAAACTGTATAAAAGGGATTGTGTACCTACTATTATTTTATTTTATTTTCTTTAATATTATTATTCCACTAAACTATTCAACTTTAAATTTTTTTATTTAATTTTGTTTCATCATCATCGTCATCAGCCTATTAATGTCCCCACTGCTGGGGCACAGGCCTTCCCTATGGATGGAATAGGGAGATTGGGCCATGACCCACCACGCGGGCCCAGTGCGGATTGGTGGGTGCTAACGACTGCAAATGCAGCCGGGACCAACGGCTTAACGTGCCTTCCGAAGCACGGAGGAGCTCGAGATAGTAAATTTTTGGTCACCCATCCAATGACCGACCACTGCGAAAGTTGCTTAACTTCAACGATCGCAGCCGAACGCGCTAGCCACCTGCGCCTCCTCCTCCTCGAGATAGATAATTTTGTTTAACTATCCTAAATTAAATGAAGCTCAAAGTTATGACATTCTCTTATTGTAATCGGTACGAAGTTCGCCGGTGCGCTTTACGCAGGTACGTGACATACCGCCAGTGCTCATTTAAACACGCGCATTGCATGAATCTTTGCCGCTGCGCCTCTTCTCATATGGTGAAATCCCGCCCTTAGATCGCATGTGAAATGTCGATTTTCGTGTAGTAGTTATCACTCAGTTTTGCACCATAAAATACTTAAAGAAAAGCTAGTTTTAGGTGCAATATTATGTTCGAGTTTAATAAAAAAAATAATCAATAATGTCAGACTATGTCCATATCAAATATAAGAGTCAATTTGGACAATATTTTGTCCTCAAAATCATGTGAGTATAAAATTAAAAAATCGGTTAATTCTAGCATTGGCTTATTGAATTATTGAAATGAGAACGATAACTGGATAAAGAACAAACATTAATTATTGGAACAAGCAATACTTTGCTTATTTAGACATCGATTTATTTTATTATTCTTATTCTTCTTATATATCATTATTATAAAAAATATATATTAGCATTTATAAGAATATAATCGAAATTGCATTTGTTTTACAAGATAACGCGCACATCTTGGTTTACCTTATAGGACAATACTGAGTGGCGAGGCGGATTTCTGTTCCAATTTTTTTAATCTTTGTGTACATTTAGGAATTGGGATTCGTGGAAATCAGTTCGAATTAATATAAAAAATATATACACTTCTGGATACATCTATTGGCCCACCTTAGAGTTTAGGTTTCGATGGCCCCTACCGAAATATGATTGCTAGATTGAACAAAAACTGTTGATGCAATTTTAAACCTGATACATTTTACCATTTTTTTCGATCGTATTGTTTTAAATTTGAATTCAGAATACCATACGACATGGAGCTACGCCTAACAAGTCGGATATGCGCCTTGTTAAAGGCAATTGATTTTTGAATAAAAAACATGTTTTATCAAATAAAGGTTTAATTTAATAACGCGTGTTGCCTCCATGGGCATCTACCACAGCTCTCATACGATTAGGCATAGAGTTTATCAACCGCTCTATGAAATTTTGAGGGATCATCTCCCATTCCTCTTCTATGGCAGTTTTCAACTCCTGCATCGTCGGGGCAACTGGCTGACGAGCCCTAACACGTCTTTTTAGCTCGTCCCACATGTGCTCAATGGGGTTCATGTCTGGGCTTCTAGCTGGCCAGTCCATAACTGTGATGTTCACATCCCGAAGATATTCCCTGACGATGCCGGCCGCATGGGCTCTTGCATTATCATGCATAAAAAGGAAATTTGGGCCCACATAGTCCGCGTGAGGTTCTAAACACTCACGAATGTACCTTTCAGCATTTAATGTTGGCAGCCGTGGTCCTGTAACAACCTCAAGTTGAGGTTTGCCGCTCGCGGATATACCGCCCCAGACAGTCCATGAGCTACCGCCATAAGCAACCCTCTCTTCAAAGCAGCATTATGCGAAACGCTCTCCCTTACGTCGGTAGACCTTCTTCTTTCCATCATTGCCATGTAACACAATTTTAGACTCATCAGGAAAGAGTATACGGCTCCAATCTTGCTGTGTCCAATTTAAATGACTGCGTGCGAAATGAAGGCGCGCTGTTCGGTGGGCTCGCGTTAGTTTGGGCCCATTAGCTGGCTTGTGTGGTACCATATCGCGTTCTTTTAACCTTCTCCGAACAGTTCGAGCGCTCACAGATACTCCGTGGAAGTCGCGAATTTGTTTTTGTATCTCAATGGAGATAAGGTGACGATTTCTCAAGCTGGTCGTCACAATGAATCGATCCTGCCTTTCAGTGATCCGAGATCGTGGCCTTCCTTGGCGACGAACAAAGCCGCCAGTCTCTAGGTACCTCCGATAAACATTTCGGACCGCAGATCGACTTAAATTAAGTTGAGCACTCACGTTTCTTTGGCTGTGTCCGGCCTGAATAAGTGCCACAGCTTGGGCGGCGACTTCAGGTGAAGTATCCATAGATTATTGATAGAACCTCCCCTTAATGTTAAGAATAAGTAATGTTTGTTGCAAAACCAAAGATATCAATCACTTTTTCAAGAATTAAATCCAAGTAAAC